GCTCTCGCTGCCGCACACGCCGCCGCCGAGGTCGTCAGGCTCACCACCGCCACCGCCACCGCTGCTCCCGCTAGCCGCCTTGCCACGGCGCCACAGGACCGGCGCTTGGCGGAGGAAACTTGCACCGCCGTCAAGATTCAGTCCCTGAGTTGGAGTGTGGGGTGCGGGGTGCGGGGTACAGGTAAGGGGTGTAAATTTTGAAATTTCATTTTTTTAGGGTAATTTAAATATTTTATGTATATTTTTTTAAAAAGGGATGTGTTTATATGAGAGTGAAGGTGTGTTTATCATATGCCTTATCTTTTTGCACTCCAGGTATTTTTAATTAATTTCAATTAAAAAGGGAAAGCCTCATTGACTTATTGTTATAGAACAAAATCAAACATTAAATTTCTTAAAGTGAAATTAATTTTATTCGGATACAAATTTTCTACTTTAGTAGTAATCGAATTAATTACGATTCGAGTTATTCGTCAAATATTATAAGTTATTAATATTTTAGTATCTATATTTTATAAGTTAAATATTTATTTTATATAATTAAAAATTATAATAAATTATATGTAAATATTATATTTAAATATATAAATTATACTAATTTTTTGTATATATTAACATATTTAAACATATAAAATGTATTCTAAATTTAATATAAATAATTTACATTATGTTATAAAATTGCTTTTAATTATTAATTATTTTTTAAAAATATTAAATTTAATTTATTAATAAATATGATAAATTAAAAATAAATTTGATAAAAAAAAGGTTATAAGAAGTTTTAAAAATATTATTGCTCAAAAAGAATTTTTAACAACATTCTTATACAAGATAATTTTTCATATTTAATATATAAAAATTAATCTTTAATAAGAACAAAACTAATTATTTTATAAATTAATAGTACTTTATATCATAATTTAGTTCTTTGCAAAACATTTTATCCAGATTGATTTGATTTTGTTACAATTGTCTTTCTATCCAAGTTAATCGATTTATTATGATATCAAAAGTTATTTTTAGGATTTAATTAAAATATTATTTAATAAGTGTTTTTTTTATGCCATAATGTATGTGATAAAAAAAATAATAATATAATATAAATTTTATATTGTTGCATTTAACTTATATTGTAACGTAGCAAGTTATTTTATAAGAACCAAAATTTTAATATGGTTGATTTAGTAGCCTAGAACGGGTCATTTCTAATCTGGAACGGGCCGCTCCAAGCTATTAAATTGACTTGTAAATCGTGGTTGGGAACGGGCCTCTCCAAAGGGAGAACAGGCCGTTCTGGATGAGTTCCAGAACCGGCTGTTCTGATTTCAGAACGGACCGTTCTGCAAGTGATTTTTGTATGTGATGCGATGGTGCAAAACGGGTCGTTTTGGATTTGGAACAGGCTGTTCTGGTTACTCTGGAACTTCTATATATAGGGGTTGCCACTTGAGGAGAAAGTGAAGTTTTTAAAGAGAATGACTCTGGGTCTGTGAGCTCTTTTCTCTCTCAAATTTCTCTGTATGATTCTTTTTCTCCTCTAGAGCACTAATGTCTTCTATTTTTTCTTGAAATTTAGACTAGAAAGCTTGCTTTGAGAGGATTGAAGTTCCAGGTTGCGCTTCGGAAGGGAATTCTACTTCTTCTCAGTTATTGGCTATTTTGAAGTCAATTTTCAGGTGAGGGAAGCTAGAATGTTTGTTGTTTAGATTACATGTGAGTTTAGAAACTCAATTGATGCATGAATTTTGAGAATCCATAGATGGGTTGAAGAAAATCTCATTTTTGGGGTTTGAGAAAAAGGAGGATTTTGATGATTTAGATGCATAGGTTGGATGCATGTAGATTTAAGTTTATTTTGAGTTGTATGGAGCCTATGCTTTGTGTTTTGTGTCTGCATGTGGTTGGATTTGTTGATTTAGATGAGAGTTTTGAAACTCTTTGACTAGGATTAGGCCGGGCGCAGGTTGAGCGCGCCAGGCGTGGAAGAGCTTAGGGCTCTCGGGTTGAATGTTGGGCTAGATGTGATTTGGTTGCGTCAGGTATGGAGACTCTTATGAGTCTCTATCTCAAGGACATCGAGCACGAGTTGAACGCGTCGGGTGTAGATGAGTTTTAGGACTCTCAGGTTGGGATTAGGTTGGGGGAGCTCCGGTTGCGCCGGGCGTGAATATATTTATGAATGAAATGATGCTAATGCATGTTAAGTTGAAGTTTTGGATCATGTATGTATGATATATGATATGCACAGTGATGATATATATGAATGTTTAAATATAATATGGCATGAGTATATGTTCATATGTGTATGATTATTGATCATAATGGTGAGTATATCATGTATGATGTATGATACATTATTGCATGTGATGTCTTATGACATGTGTATGATTGTTGATCATGATGGTGGGTAGGCCATGTATGATGTATGATACATAATTGCATATGATGCCTTATGGCATGAGCGTAGCCTATGACTTGAAAAGAGAATTTATATATAATGGGATAAACATGAATCACATTCATTATTTATATTAATGAAGTTGAGATATTTCATATTTATATATAATAAAATATTTAAAAATTATTAATATTTATTAGATTAATTAATATTATGTTTAGTTGTTAAATCTTAAGATCATTTTTTTATTATTTAAATTAAAAATAAAATTATGTAAAATATATATACCAAATCAAACGCTCTCATGCATCAAATATTTATAAATAATTTTGTACTGTCTCAGTCGGATCCCGATTTGATACACTTTACAGGTTTTGATCCAATGAATCTTGAATATGAGTCTTCTCGGTTGGCAGGCGATCTAACCTCTCACATGGGTAAGATTAGTCGGACCGCGATCTCACCCACCCCTGGACGAACTCGGCCTGGGTATGGTCGGCCAAGGTACGCTCGGCCATGGTGAGATCGGTCAGGCTGTGCTCGACCATGATGAGATCGGCCAAGCTGTGCTCGGCCATGGTAAGATCGGTCAGGGTGTGCTCAGTCATGGTGAGATCGGCCAGGTGTGCTCGGTCATGATGAGCTCGGCCAGGGTATGGTCGGCCAAAGTCAGAGTGGGTCTCACCCTTTGGACTGGTCCGAGAATCAAGGATGAAAAACCTATCTTTGATAATCAAATATTCTCAAGGAAAATCGTTATGAAAATTCTCGCGCTCACAAGGCCCAGGTGGCCCATGAACATAAAAGTATAAAACCTAAAACTCTAGAGTTAAGACGACAGATTACACTTTTGAATGTTCTGACTTTGGAGACCTGACTTAGGAGAAGAACCCTAGACACTTCCTTGACCGGAACAAATTTATTATGACAATATAAAAATCGGTACATGCGAGAATTTCTTGCAACGTCTTTTTTCGTTGGTAGCTACCGACCCAAAAGATGCTTGCTTAGTGCTAACACAGTAATAAGTTATAGTTAATAAAGTAAATTAAATGAAACCCCACAAATACATGGCCAAGGTATCCCAGCAGGCACATCTCTTTTATGGTGTAACTTTTCACACCTTAATTATAATATTACAATATCCATGAAAAGCACTGGTGAGTGGCTAGTTTAATTTCGCAAGTAGTAGAATATTTAATTTCACAAGTAAGCAAACCTAAGGAAATACCCGAAGCTTCACAACTAGTATCTTTCATAACTTGCAATTAAATCCAAATTATTTGAGTGGAAGAAATACACACCTATCTGTATTCATATATATATTTTTTATAAATATAAAAAAAAATCAATCGAAAGTTAAATAAATGAAGAGAGAAAATAAAATTTGACTAGAAATAGAAGAAAAAAAATCAAATTGACACCTGTGATTTTCTGAAAGTTACCGTTAAAAGATAAGTAAGTAGCAGGGATCAGTTATGGGACATGTTAGAATACGTTTATGACTTTATATGTTAAACCGAAGGGATTTAGTTTCATCGATTAATAAGTGTGTGAGTTGTTTAAAAAAATATTATTTAATTAAAACCTTATTAAAATGACCACATGTCCACCACTACAATCCAAACAAACATGCGTTAAGAGTTAAACAGGTAAAAAAAATGACAATTAAAAATTCTATTATATACCAAAAGATGACTATTATTAATTATTATAATTTATAAAGGAGGCCATTTCTTCCATAAACCGAGAGGGTGCTTCTAGGTGGAAGAAATTATTCTATCCTTTATGCCTGTCCCTCCAATTACATAGTATCACGTCATGAATATAGCTACGTTATTTTAATTTAGATTTAAAATAAAATTAACAAACTTTCACGTAACCTCTTATTCATTCTTACTCATGTTCTTCTTTTTCTGACTCATTCATGGAGTTTTACGTTTTCGTTAAACGGGAGAATCTTCAAATTTACTGTTCGTCGTAAAATACGTTAGTATGATCTTTACTACTGGAATGATTAATTAGATTAGGATCATGGTTGTTAGAATTCAATAATTTGCTGTCAGAGGGAAATATTCAATCAGTTTGGTTGCTACGTGTGATATATGTATGTATATAAACGAAAATAACCCACTCAGAATGCATAAACAAGAAATGTGTGTTTGGATAAATATATGAAAATTCAGATCCAAATGTATGCATTAACAATGAACACGTATCAAAAAGGAAATAGATGGTGTTGATCTGTCTGACATCAGCAGCAATTAATATTTAATTTATTTCTGATTCAATGGTTTGACTTGTTTTGCTGGTGGAATTCAATTAACGGGAATCACAAAACTATGAAAGAAAAAAACAGAAAATTACGTTAAAAAATTGCAAGAAACTCGATGGAAGCTTTGAACTATAAAAGGAAAACGAAACGGAAGAGTGACATAACCCATAACTTGTTCAATACTAGCTTCAGACGTAAATTAAAGTGACGTGACTAAATAAATGAGTTGGGTGTAAAGGGTGGAACAGGAATCATGGACAGAACTAGGAGACACAAGATTTTCATCCGCCTACGCCAGTGGCTCCTCCATTTTGCGATTAACCTTTTGAAGTTTCAACGACCTTAGCTCTTCAATTAACTCTTTCAAGCTGTTGTAAGAAGAGCCACCAACCTGGATTGCTTTTTTTGCAGCAACACTCATCGCTTTCGCTCTCTTTCTTATTTCTAAAGACTCTTCTCCACCGCTCATCAACAAAGCAATTGCCTTTCCTATGTCTTCCCTCTTTACTATCTCATCTCCTAACCCATTCCACTCTCTCCATTTCTTTGCTCCAATCGGCACTCCAATTTTGAGGACATCCACCAGCAACTTTTCATTGAAAAACTGCTCCGCAAAAAGAGGCCAAGTCACCAAGGGTAAACCTGCATCAACACTTTCAATAACTGTATTCATCCCACAATGAGTCACCACAGCTCCAACGGCTGGATGCTCCAGAATGAGAAGTTGTGGTGCCCAACCCCATATTAGATAACCCTTGTTGCTCGCTTGCACCCTCTTCTCAAACTCCTCCACAAAACCCTTTGCTTCACCTTCATCAACTTTCCTAACAACCCATAAGAAATCATGGCCTGAATCTTCAAGGGCATGGGCTATTTCCACAAGTTGTGTGCTGGGGAAGTTGTTCATGCTACCAAAACACACGTACAAAACAGAATCCTCTTTCTTAGAATCAAGCCATGCAAGCCAACCTTCTTTTCCTTTTTCTTCTTCTTCTTCTTCCTTGGCGTGTCCCCTACCAGCCTTATCCGAAGCATCTTGGTTCACCCATGACGAAATCGGTCCCACGTTCCAACTCTTAGTCCCCATGATCTTCTTGTAATGTTCCTCGTAAACTCCTTCAAACTCACGAAAGCTTTTGAACACTGATCCGTAGCTCTTTTTCGCTGATTCTTTCACCGCCTTCATCAAATACTCGTACTGATGATTCGGGTTTCTAAACCGAATAGGTAGCTGCGAACGTATCATCTCGATCTCGTGGGGCAACCCGGGAAGCAGAAAACTCTCATCATCCGAACCTACCTTGTTGTGAGGCTCAAATCTTTCGAGAGAGTCCATTGCGCAGTGAGCAAAGTAAGTCCCACCCATATAAATCAGCCTCGGAATATCTAACTCAGCGGCAACTTCGACACTCCAAACATAGAACATGTCGGTGACTATGAAATCAGGTTTCATGTCACGGAAGGCTTGTCGGAATTGTAGTTCCAAAATGGACATCCCCTCCACAATTTTGGAGGTCATATCTTTAGGAGTGGAAGCATTGATGCTTTCCATTCCTTCAGGCAAACCAGGTATTTGTGGAAACTTGATAGTATGGGTTCGAATGGAGCTGCCGCGGCTGGAATCACGGTCGATGGAACTTTGAAAAATTGCAGCGTTTGCTGGTGTGGTGATTATGGTGACATCCACACCGTGCATGGCGAAGATCCTGGCTATCTCCACCACAGGGACCAGATGACTGGGTGTTATAAGGGGAAGAAAAATAGCCTTTAGTATTTCGGATTCACCTTCAACACCAAAGGACTCCATGATCGTTATTCTAGGGTGGAGAATGGTCTTTGCTGGTGTCATACTCTTTATATATATATATAATCAGGGATGCCATTCAGAATAGGAAATTCCTTTGGTGCCCCTCGTCATTAAGGGATGGGATGCACTGGTCTATTATTGCCACGTGTGTTCAATTGTCCCGAGAATATTTGGAAGTCTACAAACGAAGCTTCTTTTTTTTTTTTTTTTTTTATATAAATAAAGGACACAGTATCTTTCTGGTTTTTTTTATGCTCTCTTGCTTGTGCTGTATTTGTTTGTTTTTTAATCTATCTGTGTTTCTCCATGTTTGCATATCTCATGTATGATTCTGTTTCTATCTTTTCTTTTATTTATTTATTTATTTTCTCTTCTCTTTATTAAAAATGGGGTGCACATTTATTAAAAAAAATTTAAATAATATGAGTTTTTTTTAAACGAAAAAACTTAGGTACAATTCATTTATTTGCGGTGAGCGTTATTTTCTTATTAGAGTGAGTTTTTCTTAGCATGTGTATAAGTATATTAATGAAATCAATATTAAATATAAATATATATTATTAATTTTTTGATTGGATTTATTCAATCCAATTTTAAACATCTCTAGTTTGAAATGTTAGTTATGCATTTCATACGCACACAACAATATAAACTGAGTAGAAAATTTGAAAGGTAGAAATATATTTAAATACAACAATGATACCGGTATGTTTAAAATAAAATCTGAATTTATATTTAATTCAAAATAACTAAATTAATTAAATCATTTCAAGGTGTAAGATATCATCTAAAGACTTTACAAGTCAGGGTAATAATCCTGAAAATAAGAAAGAATTATTCAATTTTTATCATGCGTTTTTAAACAATGTGATCAAGATAATATTTGATATTTTTAAATTAAGATTTATAATTTTTAAGTTAGCATCTCCATTTTTATCTGAGACACAAGTGAAACTTGTATTAGGTTATGCAGCACTACATAATTTTTTCTGTAAATAAATATTATTTGGATGAATTTCTAATTGAACTGATGGATGAACTTCATATTCAATATTATTCATTAATAAAAATTATAATTTTAAATTTATTATTTAAACCCAGAAACAAAAGCGAAAAGATAATAATACTAAAAGATAAATATTTACTAAAAATGTTGAGAATAATATTCTTGATAATAAATAGTACTTTCTGAATATCATTCATAAACGCACCCCGAGAAATTTAAATATGTGAAATAAACGCACCCTAAGGAATTTATTTCTCCCATGTATACTCTGTCTGTGGAGTCTAGAACCTGATTATACAGAACCTTAATTAAGCATATATATCCGTATATATTATATATCATTGTATAAAAAAAATTATATATACCCTCAGCAAAGATTAAATCTTCAGTTAAGATTAATAATCCTCCGATCACAGTCCTCTAGTGTCGAAGGTCAAGCTGAAGGCTCCTTTTCTTCCCATTGTATCCACTAGACACCGACACCTAATTCCCTTTCCCATATGTTCAATTTAATCACATGACAATTATATTATTGTAGAATTAGGTAAATTCAACACCGTACACTTTTAAATCTATCAAATTAGTAATAAAAAAAATTATAAATAAGAATTTGGATGAATCGGATCACAAGAGCTCGTAGATCAAGATAAATCTCAAAACTTTGTAAAAACATATATATATATATATATATATATATATATGATAAAAGTCAAATGCACGTGCTTTTCAATTATGAATTTGTTTCTTGTGAACTAAATCAATCTCAAAAAAAATTATATAATACTTAGAAGTTGTAACATCATTTAATTAATTCGTGTGATAACAATCAAATCAAATTTGGTGTTCTTTATTATTATTAAACCCAATAATCGTGTAATATTTTTCCTATAATCAACACAGGCGCGTTGATTATTTTTTTTTATGGGTAAATTACATTTTTTTTCTCTTAAGATTATATAATACTTGTCAGTTGTAACATCATTTAATTCATTCGTGTGGATACTATCAAATCAAATTTTGGTGTTTCTTTTTAATATTTTTCCTATAATCAACACAGGCGCGTTGATTTTTTTTAATGGGTAAATTTTAATTTTTTGTCTTAAGATATGTGTATTACAATATTTTTTATGTAAAAAATTACATCGAGATATAAATTATAATATTATATATTATAATATAGATATATATATATATATATTAATTTAGATTATATATATTAATAAAGTTCAAAAATTTTGTGTCTCTATATTATATTTAATAAAAATATTTAAAAATTACTAATATTTGTTAAATTAATTTATGTTGTGTTTAGATCTTAGATGTTAAAGTCTCCTATTAATATAGTCAATTTTTAATATTATTTTTATTAATTTAAAATCTAAAAATAAAATTATTTAAAAATATATACATTAAATCAGACTATTGTCTTTATATATGTTATAAATTATAAAAAAAAATCAACATTTTATTTTATATATAATTATAATAACTTTGATAATAAAATTTAGAGTATATTATTAAATAAAATATTAACATGAAAAAAAATTATTTAAATGGTTTTAAATAGAATATTTAAATAATAATTATAATTTTAAAATTGTTGTATAATTTTAAGAAAAGTAACGCCATAAATAAAAAATATATTTTCGTATAATATGGTTAAAAATATTTTTAAAATTTGAAATTTTTAAATGATTAAATTAAAACTTATTTTTAAAAAAAATTATGTAATTTTAATAAAAGGATTATCATTTAAACATAACTTATGTCATATCTTATTAGTTAATATTAAATATAAATTATATAATATAATAATACTATCTGATTTATTATGATGGTGTATATCAAATATTAGATATAATTAAAGTTTACTTTTGTCTTATTCTATTTTTATATCATATTCTATCTTATACGACTAATAATAAATGGGTCCTAATAAATTAAATTATATATTTTGATATAATAATAAATAAATAAAAGTAATACTTTCATCTCTCGTAAAAGAATAATGTAATTTATTAATTATTTTATTTATTCATATGTCCCACACCAGAATGGAACACTTGCTTACACACAAGTTAGAGAACTAGGGAAGGGGGAAGAAAGGGGCAGCTTTGGTCTGCTGAAGGCCGTGCTCCGTACGTCATGCTTACTGATTCAGCTGGCGGATCCCTCACCAGATGCTATGCTGAATTGGAAATATTTATCTATTGATTCATTATTTCAAATCTATTTATCTATTCAGTATTCAACGCAGAGTGCACTGATAAAAAAATTAACAGATGTCGAGTTAGTTTGCCATGCGTCTTTGCGCATGTCTACTTAAATATTCACAATTATTTGGGACCAGTCAATCTACCAATTTTTTTTATTTATATAATTCTATTCCTGGATCTACGCATTATCAACATTTTAGTGTTGTATTTAGTTTAAGATTATTTTTTATTATTTAAAAATAAAATTATATATATATATATATCAAATCAAACTATATATATATATATATATCAAATCAAACTCTCATACATCAAATATTTATAAATAATTTATTATGACAATATAAAAATCAGTACGTCAATGGAATATGCGAGAATTTCTTCCCACGTCTTTCTTCGTTGGTAGCTACCGACCCAAAAGATGCTTGCCTAGTGCTAACAAAGTAATAAGTAATAGTTAACAGAGTAAATTAAATGGAACCCCACAAATATATGGCCAAGGTATCCCAGGCACATCTCTTTTATGGTTTAACTTTTCACACCTTAATTATTGTTTTATTAAGTAGATAGTAGCTAAAGAATCTTTGGTGAAATGTAGGGCTGACCTAAATATAAGGTTGGTCAAGCTCTAGTTTTAGATCTTTAAAATATATATATTTTTATTTATAAAATTTAATAAATTGGTTGTATTAATATTAACTTTGATTTATTGATCATTTCTAAGTCTAATATTATAAGGACCGGGGTTTAATCATTATATTGTATTTTTTTGTTAAAATTTCTTTTTTTATGGATGATTGTTGATTTTTTTATCACTCTCTCATATTTAAAAATACTCAACTTCAAAACTCGCTTTAGACTTTAAAATATGTTGGGCTAGCCCCGGTGAAGTGAACCCTAAGAAAATCTAGCCGCTATCCTGACCTAGAACATTCAACAATGAGAAAAACCTAACTTTCACCAGTCCCCTTTCCTTATTTATGTGGGTCTCATATACGTGATACTGATCTTTGATCCTTATCCCCTAAAATGCGCGCGAATCCCTCTCTGTAATGAGCCTATGAACTATATTTTTAATCGTAATCAAACCTGCACAAAAATCACGGGAATCATAACCTTGATTAGTTTTACCGGAATTCACTCATTAATACGTTGATGACTGACCTAAAGTTTGGGTTTCTCAATCGGATGGGGACCAGGAAGGTATTTACTATTCAACCTACTCGGCCAATTGGAGACCAGGAGGGTACACAACCCTCTTAACTCGAGCATTAATGATACAAAGAGCCATTGATCGGTCAACTTGATAAATAGGAGATTTAGAGGATACACAACCCTCCTAGCTCAAGCGTTAACGACGCGTAGAGCCATTAATCGGTCAACTCGACAAATTAGAGATCTGGAAGGTACACAACCCTTTTGGCTCGAGCGTTAGCAACACGTAGAGCCATTGATCGGTCAACTCGGCAACTTAGAAATCCATAGGGTACACGACCCTCTTGGCTTAAGCGTTAATGACGTGAAAAGCCATTGGTTAGCCAGTTTGGCTAATTGGAGACCTACACGGCCTTCATGGCTCGAGCGTTGGTGACACCAAGAGCTTATGTTCGGTCTGCTCGGCCTATTGGAGATCAAGAAGGCACACAACCCTCATGACTCGAGCGTTGGTGACACCAAGAACTTATGTTCGGTCTGCTCGGCCTATTGGAGATCAAGAGGGCAGATAACCCTTATGGCTCGAGCGTTGGTGACGCAAAGAGCCTATGCTTTGCCAGCTCGACCTAATAGAGACCTGGAGGGCATTATGACAATAGTTCCAAGCCTAGCTCGCCTCCATACATTATATCTCTTGGGAATATAAAAGCTCTAC